GGAAAAGCGGGACAACGATGACGACAGGGGATCAAGTTAAAAAACAGCTATTTTTATAAAATCGGGTATTTTTTGTGGAGATCTAAAAAGAAAGTTCTTTACTTATATTTTTCTGAAGAGCTTCTCAAAAGAGAAGGTCTTACCTCTTTCAACATTTCTATATTTATAACTTTGAATTTATAAAGCGTGGCATTTGGGTAAAAAGCGTGGCATTTGAGTAAAAAGCGTGGCATTTAAGTAAAAAGCGGGGCATTTCGGTAAAAAGCGGTGCATTTTCGTACTTTGGCGGGACTCGTGCCAGCAAGTAAAAAAGCTGGATAATTACGTCTAAAGCGGGACGTCTGGCAACCCTAAAAATAAGTCAAAAATCATATAAAAGGGGACGTCTTTTTGCTCATCTATACTCATAATTTTCTGCCTCTCCTCCACATGGCCACTCCCATTCTTGTTCAATGGAACACCCTGTATATTATTTTTTTTCTATTCTCTTTTAACATTTCAAAACTGTATACCTTGGTGTCATCCTTGAAATTGGAGAAAGATAAATATTGAGTGGACATTTTCACTTTCTACTCCCTTAGTATTCTTGAAATCGAATTCATCAAAATTGGTGAAAAATTTTCTCTCAAAACTTTCTCCTACTTTTAGATAGAGAAAATGAAAACAACGAGAGAATTCAATTCACAAACGTGCGCAGTGCGTGTCAGAATTTAAACAAAAATCAAAATATAACCTCATTGATGTTGTTAGTGGTTTTCAGATACATTTGCTGTATTTAATCTTCCTTTTAAAATGGATTTGGACGCGAAAATAATGAGAATAATTTTTATTCATGCTGTAATTAGTCCAGGGTAGTTAGGAAAAATAGCGGACACTTTTAGGGACAGCAGATATCGAGAAGCGGTTTTCTGCATTGTGTTCAGGAAGGTCCCAGGAAAAAAGTCTATATCGTCTGGTTTAGCCATTTTTTGAAAAATGCCTTCTGAGCCGGAAAATTCATTTTCCAATTGCATCATTACTTGCACCATTATAGGAACGACTGGAAACTTGGAAAAATCGCTCGGAAATCGTTACTCGGGAAGTTTTCGGGACTGCCGCACTCGATTCTGGTATTAGAATTACCCGGGGGTGGCTCTGTGGAGGTGCGCGGCGGGTGAATTGGGAGAGAAATGGCAGCGTACATGAAAATCGCTCTAAACTCGTTACTGGGATGTTTTCGGGGATGCCGAATTCAATTCTGGCATTGGACTTACCCGGGGGCGCTCGGGGGCGTCTCTGCAGGGGTATCCGAGGGTTCATTCTGGGGGGGGGGGAAATGCATAGTCCATGGGAAACGCTTCAAACTCGTTACCCGGGGGTTTTTGGGGATGCCGAATTCAATTCTAGCATTAGATTTCCCCGGAGGCGCTCGGGGGTGGCTCTGTGAAAATCACTCTTTCTCGAAGAAACGAAACAATCATATGCTAATAAACATTTTTTCGATGCAACGACAAAATCGTTACTGGAGGGTTTTTGGGGATGCCGAATTCAATTCTGGCATTAGACTTACCGGGGGTGCTCGGGGGTGGCTCTGTGGGAAATGGTAAAGGATAAAGTGAAAAATCACAAATTATGAAAAAAATACTTTATTCAAATAACAAATAGCAGTTTTTATTAATGTTGAATTATTCATTAAAAACTTAAATTTTTAACTTAAATACTAAACAGCTTGTACAAACTCTTCTTCTTCTTCTTCCCCTTGTTCATCTTCTTCCTCGTCACTATTCTCGGCCCCGTTGGAAGTGCCTTTTTGGTTTGAGCAATTGCCATTGCAATGCTTGCATGCAAGTGAGCACTCCAACCCACTTCGGCGCACCCGCACCTCGTGCCACAGTCGGTTTCACAAGAACAAGAAATTTTGCTTAAAATTTCGTCAGGACCGGCTTCCTGGGTCATCGTGACAGGATTGAGCTCTCCATCCACCAATTTTCACCCCTATTCCAACGGATCTAAGGTCTGGTCTTGACCTTGTGAACCATACCAAGCCTGTACTTGGAAATAGACACGCTTGATATACTCGGTTAACGCATTGGCAGTCGGGATTATGCATACAAGATCGACTTTTTTAGAATTGGGGGCTTCAGCATACATTTTTGCTCGATAGCGTTGGACGAGCTCAATCGCAATCCCACAGAGCCACTCCCGAGCGCCCCCGGGGAATCTAATGCTCGAATCGAATTCAACATCCCCGAAAACCCCCGAGTAACAAGTTTAGAGTGCTTCCCATGGACTATGCAATTCCCCCCTCCCCAGAATGACCCCCCAGGATACCCCCGCAGAGCCGTCCTGGGGTAATTCCAATGACATAATTGAATTCGGCATCCCCGAAAACCCCCCGAGTAACGAGTTTGGAGCGATTTTCATGAACGCTGCCATTTCTCCCCAATTCACCCCCCGCGCACCCTCACAGAGCCATCCCCGGGTAATTCTAATGCCAGAATCGAGTTCGGCAGCCCCGAAAACCCCCCGAATAACGATTTCCGAGCGATTTTTCCGAGTTTCCAGTCGTTCCTATAATGGTGCAAGTAATGATACAATTGGAAAATGTATTTTCCGGCCCAGAAGGTATTTTTCAAAAAATGGCTGAACCAGACGATATAGACTTTTTTCCTGGGACCTTCCTGAACACAATGCAGAAAACCCCATTTCGATATCTGCTGTCCCTAAAAATTTCCGCTATTCCGGTAGATTTTGATCTAAATGCCCTGGACTAAATGTAAGATATAAAAAAATGTATACCCAAAATACTACAAACATTAAGAACATATAATTAAACAAATGAAAATATTAACAAATACAGATACATGTTAGACAAAATGACAAAAACATGGAGCAACAAATTTTGTTTAATTATAAAAGGTGTAAAACTATCTCCGTACACTATAAGCCATGCAACATCAAGCCGTCATTATGATGTGATTTTTTGTGTGCGTTACGTCATTTGATGACGTGAAAATAACGTTATGGTAACGTGAGAATGTCACAGCGAAATTACGTCATTCCATATCGTCATTTTGACGAATCGATATCACGTTAAAGTAACGTGTATATCGGGTATCCTAGGCTAGGCAAATTGACGTCATTGTCACGAATCTACCTAACGTCAAAGTGACGTCTATATTGGGTGTCCCAAGGTTGGATGAAATTATTAAAAATACTAAGCAGATAAAAGTTATTTATTTAATTTAAAAAATACATTAAATATATATTATAAAAAATAAATTACACTGGTAAATAAAAAAGTCATGAGCAAGAAACCAAAAGGAATAAAATGACAAAAGAATATTAGAGAAACTGACACAACATACCTAAAATTTTAGATTTGATTTTAATTGGGGGTGGGCGAGCATGCTTAACGATTTCATCATCTTCAGTATCATCGAATGACAGCTTTCTAGTTGGCACCTGTTTTCTTTTAGTAGGTACTTTATCAAAGTAGATCTGAGGTAACTTCTACTTTTTTTAATTTGGACATCACTTATCATTATCATTTAAAATAAAAGAACTATTAAAATACAGACCACTGAAAATTCTTAAAGATAGAAAGTAAATTGTGTATCTAGTTGTAAAAACTACCTTCTCAGAGGTATACATATAGTCTGAGTTTATAATAAAAGTTAATAAAAAAAAGATCATATTCTGTGAGATGCTAAAAGGTAACTAAATCAAGTGACCCACTACATATCTTTTATTTTTAAATAAACTATTAAAAAAATACCCTGATAGAACTTATAATCAAAAATTAAAGTATAACATATTACTTACCAGTCTTATATTATAGTATATTTCTTTATATATTTCTTTATATATTTCTTTATATATTTCTTTATATATTTCTTTATATATTTCTTTATATATTTCTTTATATATTTCTTTATATATTTCTTTATATATTTCTTTATATATTTCTTTATATATTTCTTTATATATTTCTTTATATATTTCTTTATATATTTCTTTATATATTTCTTTATATATTTCTTTGTATTTTTCATTATAAAGGCGGCCAAAAGATTTGTTTTTTACGCGACGTCAGCCATTTTCTACTCACCTCACAACCGCCAGACCGTCATCATCCGGTTTTTCAAACTCAACAATGCAATACATCTGTAAAATACCAAATTCGGTTTAATATACTTTATTATTTTGTCACATTCTATTTTTTACCTTTTTCTAAAACATCTTATCAAATAAAGTACAATTTAAAAATGCACCACGTTTACAAGGTCACGATGTCACTCACGAGAATCATGAAGATGGAGGAAACAGAAAACAACAAAGACAATTATGACGAATTCTAAGTGACGTCTATTTTATGTCATCAATGCGACGTCAAATACACGTTACTGATTAGGACGAGTTTGTATTGACGTCTAATTAACGTTGCAAAAACAACGTCAAAGTAACGTCATTAATTGGGATAGTGACGTTTCTGACGAGTAAACCCAAAAAAATTACGTCATAATGACGGCACCTTCCTTATATCTGGACGGCACCTTGCTGCTTGGGAAGAAGACACCTCTTTTCTAATAGTAATAGGTAACTGCTACACATTTTTTTAAATGTTTGGACTTTGATCATGTTTTTAAAATGATTAATTATTTGGAAAAACTCCTAATCACTTTCTACAATCATAGCGTTTTAAACACATTTAAAAGAATATTCAAATTTGAAATTTGAAGATATTTGAATTTCTAGTTCGATAATTATTAAAAATGACAGTTTACATATTATTTTTAATGAACATTTTAAAATGTTGATACGTGAAATAGTCAAAATTCCGTTGTCGATAAAACCAAATCATAAAAACTTAAAATCTATATAAATTGTCAGCACTGTCATTTGCTGTCAAACGTTCGTAGTTTATAATTGGTTGAATGATCTAAAATGTGGCAACTTTGTATTTATTTTCAGCATCCACTTTCTCCTTCCTTGGTTTTCACGTTATTTCCAGAATACAAATTTTTTAGGAAAGTGAAAATAAAGTGATATTCCCCAAGAAGTATCAGTTTCTCTCATTTTCGCAAGCATACGCACCCTGAGGTGTAAAGTGCATCGTTTGAAAGGTACAAATAATTTCAATTTAATAACAGAAACGGTTCAATTTTCAACAAATAACCGAAATTGTTATCATATTAATAAAAAATTATTTTATTAGACGTTGAAACTGACTTCCATTGGTTTCCATACAATGATACATTCAAGCTTCAAATGTTTTCGCACATTTGGTAACATTTCTGGACTTATTTGTCAAAATTCTTGAATAATTCGCTGACGTAAAAAGTCTAGTGGCCACTCCATCATTTGACCTCGTCTACGTATCCTACGAAAAACGAGCAAGAAATGTTTGGTCCAAAAAATGTCCTACTTTGATAATGTAATGTTTCAAGTGTTACTCAGGAAATGCTTAGAAATGTGAATTGGATATTTGACAATCACCTTCAGATATTCATAATTAGACAGGCTACTTAGAGGAACAGTTCCAATTAAATAAAATCTGTCAAAATAACACTTAATAAACAAAGTATTTGAAGTTTTTGGTATAAAATTTGCACTAGGTATTGTCAAATACATATTCAGTGGATACTTAATTATAGCTGGTTAAATTTTAATTACCAATTGATAAACAATGTCTTTCCTATTAATCAGAACGGTTAAAATTTTAAGTAGGTATTTTGTAAATTATCTTTTTTGTCATTTAAATTTAAAACTCTTCCAAAATTATTAACTTTACACATTAGGAATGCTTAACGCAAATGAAAGTGTAATTATTGGTCAATTTAAAAAATTAGAAAATTATGTATTTGAATTTTATTTACAATTTATTAATTACTAAAATTCTTATTTCCTGGAAATTTACTAAATAATATGTGCACTGATATTATTGTTTTTGCAAAAATAATGACTCCATCATATTCATTAAAACTACCATCATTATAAGATACATGTCCGAAGGAAGCAGAAGACTAAGTTTTTATCAATACCCACTCTTACATTAAAGAAAAAATATACAGCTAATATAGAAAATATCAAAAGGTTCACTAAATGTGAAACCCAGTGTATACAGACGCCTGGGCTAGCCATTCTGTTCACCAACCCAACGACCTTGCTTAACTCCAAAACCAGAAACGTTACTATAACTTACTTCAAAGTCGACCACTTCCCGAATATCGACAATTAAACGAATTCAAACCTAAACCAGAGCAAAGCTTCTTTTATCCCCTCGAGGTATACCAAAAATGTATAAATAAAATCTCGCTCGGTCGGATTGGCACAATAGTTTCGCGAGTACTGTCCGCATCAGCAGCGCTAAACTACCCCTAATACTAAACGAATAGTCAACATGAAATTCATCATTGCGATTTCGACGATTCTGGTTTGCGCGGCCGCCACTCCTACCGGATTTATCACACCCATAGCTGCGATTTCGACGCCGTTCGCCAGCCAGTATCACGCTCAAGACACTTTGGGGCAGTACACCTACGGGTATTCCAACCTTTTGTCGGCTAAATCGGAGGCTAGGTAAGCAAGAATTTATTTATTTAAAATTGTCTGGTACATTTTTTTCACGAAGGCGTAGGAGGGCCACATAATATACAGTATGTCCCCCTAAATTGGAATCACATGGAAAACTTTTTTATTATTCATTTTAGGAAAAAAGTTATTCTTCATAAAAAGTTCTGCATTATCCAAAACTTAAAATATAGTAATCAGATATCAAATTTTTCAAGCCGTATACGAGGTTTGTCAAAAAATATGAATTTTGCTCAAGAGTAAAGTACGTTTATTTTTGACAAAATCGAAAATTTTCATTAAGAAAATTGCTAAATTCTTCACAGACATCAAGAAAAGGAAAGTCTATCATGTGCTAACGTAATTTATAACGTTTTCAGATATTTACAATCAATGTGTAGAAAAGTTTATAAAAAATAAGAAAATCTCTTTTTTCAGATAGACCGGTGTAATTGCATATTTGAATGTAATTTTCAATTCTAATTAACTTTTTTTAATGAAAATTTTCGATTTTGCCAAAAATAAACGTACTTTACTCTTGAGCAAAATTCATATTTTTTGACAAACCTCGTATACCACTAAAGAAATTTGATATTTGATGACTGTATTGTAGGTTTTAGATATTGCAGAACTTTTTATAAAGAATAACTTTTTTACCTAAAATTAATAATAACAAGTTTTCCATATGATTCCAACTTAGGGGGACATAATGTATTTATTTTTTTTAGATTTCGAGATTAAAGTCGAAATTCCTAGTTTAAAATCGAAATTTTGAGGTTAAAATCGAAATTTCGAGTTTACAGTCGAAATTTCGAGATTAAAGTCGAAATTTTAATTTAAAGACTTTTAAAATTTGTTGTGTTTCTTTACATTAGCATTTTTTCAAAGCACTTTAGTCGAGTAGAAAAGAGTGTAGTTATTTAATAATAGGCAGATTCATGAGGTAGAAATATTATTTTCGCAGATGAGCGTCCGCAGGGAACAAATCAGGGACCCATTGAAAAAATCTTTAAATTAATTGACTTTATTACTCTAAACGTTACTGAACAAAGAACAAATTATGGAGATTAATGGGATCTATATAAACGAATATTAAAAAAAACTAAACGTAAAATAACGTAATTATTGTAGATATCGAAAACAAATGGCTGTCACAGTTTATTCTTGATTAAAGCCGGTATCCTTTTGGATTTACGTCCAAATTTATCAGTTAATTTTTTATAAATTCATTTTATGTATACAAAAAAATAATAATAATGAATTAACAAAATCAACAGCCAGGGTAAGACCACACTCTCCCCTTTCCTCCCATCTGGACGCCCATGCATTTTCGCATCATCTTCCAAGGCTAATTTGTAATTCATCCGAAATTTAATTGACTTAATAAAGTTTTTGATGCATTTAAAGAATATTTAATAAATTTAAATAAAAATACTCTAAATCAGTAACACATTAGCTATTTATGAAACCAGTTAAGAAATGCCTATATTTTATGTATCGAGTGAATATTTGCGGGACGAGCAGAGCGAGATCCCGCAACATGAACCAGTTACATAAAACGGCATTTCGTAAAGTGTTCATACAATATTTTTTTCTAATTTTGACTAGATTATTTATAAAATTGTGTTTTGGTAAAAAATGACTGACATCTGGGTAAATAATATTACCACTTCCTTGTACGAGTATTGTTAGTTGTATATGATTAACTTCATTCTTTTATTGATAAATAGAAAATCATATTCTCAATGACTTATTGTATGGTGTTTATATTGCTTTTTAAAGTTATTTAGATCTCAAGAAGTGGGTTATTTTGGTGTGTATTGTGTTTTAATTATTTTGTGCTGATTTAGAATGGAAAATAAGGACCAAAACAACTTTATTACTACGTTGTAAGTTTATCCAAATTTTATTTCTATAAGTCAACCTGCCCTTTTTTGATATAAACTTTCAATCATAAAGTATATTATTGATTTTAAAACCAAAAAAAGGTTTATTTTGATTTCGTTTCTTTTTGCAACTGGTGACAATGCAGTTTTCGAAATCAGTTTCATAATGTTCAGTATTCGCTCCGTGCGCGATTGCAGCGCCAATTCGTTTTGGTATTAATGGACTATTTCTGCGTATACTGACAAATACAATTTTTAATCAAATTCGTAATTAAAAAGTATATATGTTAGTTTTAATAAAAGTATGGATTTGTAAAACAAGTAAAACATTAATTTATTATTATTATATATTTTTATAGCTTAAATTAAAGAAAATTATGTATAATCAATAAAAATCAATAATAAAATATAGGCAGGCAACAGTATTTACTGGAAAATGCATGAGAAGTTGCCTAAGTCTAATAAGTTGTCATTGAAGAATTAGCATATTCTGTCAAAATAAAAAAATACCATTTAATAATAGCGTGAAGTTACAAGTATTAGAAATTAAAAATTAAAAAAAAAACCGACTTCAAAAACGTGCAGATGCCATCACCACATCTTAACCAAATTTATATGGGACCACCCCTGAGGTATCCTCTTACTAGCAAAAAAGAATCATATAAAAAAAAATAATAAAAAAATATTTATTTTTCAAAAAACATGAATACAAACAAGTAAAGAAAAAATATACGTACAAGAAAAATAAATATAAAGTTGTCGAAACGCTTGTTTCGACTGGTAAGTAAAGTTAAAAATAACCTAAATGTAGTATAAAGTATACTATTATATTTTTTGAAATGTACTAATTATATAATAAAATTAATAGAAATAATTAAATCTTCTTCAAACAAAAATGTTTTTAGAGATGACTTAAAATGATAGACATTTCTTATAGATTGAACGTTTTCAGGAATTATATTGTAGAATTTTGGAGCTTGATATATATATGATCGTTGACCAATTGATTTTTGCATTTTCGGTATTAAGTGAAGCCGTTTACGTGTGTTATATGAATGGTTTCGTATGTGAAATATTTGTTTAGTATGATAATTCATAACAACTTTAAAAAAATACAATTGACGTATATTAAATCGGACAAGGTGGTAAAGCATTATCGCTAAACATACATAAAAAATTGAGAGTTTGAGGATTTTCTCATGGACCCAATTATTAGATTTTGAACAAATTTATATGGGACCACCTCTGAAGTACCCCCTTTCCAACAAAAAAAGAATTATTGAAATCGGACACCGTGTTAAAGAATTATCGCTGAACATACATAAAAAAAAATATCGCGGCGAATTGAGAACCTCCTCCTTTCTTAAAGTCGGTTAAAAATGTATAAACAAAGAATCGTTATTTATATTTTCATTTTTGTTCGAAAGAAAACAAAACTGGTTCCCTATCAGTAAGTCACAAAATTGCATTCCAGCCACATATAATAATCAAAGGCAGAAATCTTGAAATCTAGTCCTTGCTGAATGAACATTTAAGAATAAAGGGATATTAAAGAACATCGTAAAATGATAATTTATTGTTTATTTAAAACCTTTCAAGTTTCTGATGTCTACTATTTCCAGCATTACTGTTATTATTACAAAAATAAAGGTAATTTTTGTTCTTATTTTACACCTATACATTTATTTATTTGATTTAATTTCCACTTTGCTACTGAAATTTTTTATATGTTTCACTGTTTTTTGTTTGCTAGTATTTGTACAATTTTCAACACAGCAACTTCGGTTGCTTATTGTCTTGTTTTTACCTACTTTTTTGAAAAAAAGTAAAATATATACGTGTATTTGATATGCCAAAATTACTAAATATCGCCCTAAAAAAATAATTTAAAAGTTCCTACTAGATAGTGCCAGGGAAAATATCTAGGGAATTAATTAATAAAATAAATATAAAAAATAAGATTTTACTTAATAAATATTTTATTTTCATGTTAGTGCTTAGTTTTTGTGTATTAGTTCTTAGCTATTTTTTTTGTTATTTTTTTTTTTTAATTTGGTGTCATCGGCGTCGACTACTGCGGCCATTAACCTCGTGTTCTGTGTAGGCTTTGTTACTGTTTCCCAGCGCCACTTTAGGAACAGCACTGTTAATTAGAACCCAACAGTGAATGGTCGAGTGGGGAATCCTACCAAGGCATCAGAATTAATTTTAAATAATTAAATTAAATGAAAAAATCCCGGCCAACGGTGGGATTCGATCCTGAGACCTTCCGATCTCAAAGTCATGACTCTAACCACTGAGCCAACCCACCCCCTTTTTTTGTTATTTTATGTTTTTTTGTTATTACTTTTACGCCACAAACAATTTTAGGTTTTTATACGAGTTTCGTTAATACAAATTGAATAACATGCATTTAGTAAATAAACATAATTAATAATAATAATAATATATTTCCACATTTTATAGGTCCTTAGATGGTGCTGTTTTGGGCAGTTACAGCTACGTGGACCCCAACGGCAAAGTCCAATCTGTAGAATATACTGCCGACGATCAAGGGTTCAGAGTAGCAGCTTCAAACTTACCTGTAGGTCCCTTGCCAGTAGAACTACCAAATTTTGCATTACCAACACCTGTACAGGATACTCCAGAAGTAGTTGAAGCTAGAAACCAGCATTTGGCCGCAGTGGAAGAAGCAAGAGTAAGTTTTTTTGGTAGATTTTGTTATTAACAAACTATAACGTTTATAATCGTTTGACATTGAAAGTGTCAATTTGACAGAAGGAATCTAGATTCGCTAATGAAATTAATGATTTCTGTTTTGTTTACGTAATCTTCATAAAGGTGTAAAAGCATATGTAAAAAAAATAATTTTTCCAGAATCGTGCATCTCAAGGCGATATCCGTTCTGAAGTGACAAATTCTGTGGACCTTCCAGCTGCTAGATCAGCTATCGCTTTGAAATATGGTGATCAACCAATCGCTATTACATCGTCGTTACCAGTAGGTACATCATTGCTTCCATTGGCTTACAGGTAAATGTTAAACAAGTATTTTATTTAGTTTTTTATTTGCTTCCCCCTCCCTGGAGCCGCCCTTGATATTATTTGGATAATTCTGTAAAATACCGAACAGATTCCGAAGATTTTATGTTTTTTTCTTTATCCTTATACTATTTATTTTTTATTTTTCTGGTCATAAACTCAGTGGCGCAATTTCTATTTTCCGAATCCCTTTTCTCTTAGAATTTAGTAAAATATTTCATAAATTATTTTGCAGTCAAAATTTGACGTTTCGAGAGCAATTAAATCGACTTTTAGATGACAGCCGCGGGCACGGCCAACTAATAAAATGGATAAAAATTGCACTTTTTTTATACATATTAGGCGTTTCAACGTCTTGTCCAAATGGTTGCCAGATGAATTTGACAGGGTGAGTGTTTTTGTGCTTCTGACACACAAACGTTCATTTACTAATCTGTCAAGTAGTTTTTTTGCATAATTAGTTAAATAACAGTAACTAGTTGCTTTGATAGTGGATTTTGAACAAAAACACGGTGTAGTGTGTGATTTTATTATTAGTTTTATCCTTAGTGTCAAACATAGAACACTGAACTCAATGCAAAATTGGAGTGTGTGTCTACAATAAAGAGAAGAATATAATAATATATTATATTGAAATACATAAGAAAAGAGGAGTCAAATTGATATCCTTTTATTGTTATTGTTTCCATTATCTTTACATATTTCGTGTTATTCTTTCAATTTCACTTCAATATTTGAGTTGACATTTGACGGGACATTTGACACTTCACTATCTTCACACATCAACTCTTCTTCTTTTTCTTCACAACAATTATAAATATACTTGATCTATTCTACGATACTCACACTTGCTCACGCTTTTTTATTCATTTTGCTTGAGTTGACCTCCCGATATCTTGTTTTATAGAATTTTTCTCATGTGCGGTTTTTTCAGATTAGACCATAATTTTACAACGATTTGTATTTTTGTAATTTTGACCTAAGGCGCATGCTTATGTTACACGCCATTTTGTACATCTTTATTACGTCATACCAGTGAAATTGTTTCACCTCTTAATATTACCCTAGTTAACCATTTATTAGTGTATTTTTCTCAAGATCGAACACATATGCTCAACAATAATTTATTTATAATTATGACCGAGTATCTTTGCCCGAAAAAGTTATTCCTGTTTTTTTCGGGGGTCTAACTTATATCTCGCTACTTTGGGGTTTCCGCCTTTTGTTCTACTCCTTTCTCATTTTGTTTCGAGACTATTCCTTCAAAACATCGAACAGTCTATCACTATTGAGCTTATTTTCCTATCGTATAGCTGTAATTTGAATTCGACAATCAACTACCTTGGTTGGAACCCATGGTATGTTGCTGCATTTACCTCCATGACAGGATTACTCCTTGAAATTCTCTTGTATGTCCCTATAGGACTGTTCTCACATTGCTTCTCGTGTACTCTAATCGAGCGCTTTTGGTCATTGTATCCTACATTCAACACTTTCATGGCATAAATGGTGTTGTTTTGTTGTAATAGTTTTTAATTTTTTTTTATCATTTTCATTACCATTTCTTCACTATATCATTCTATTAATTTTTTACTCACATATTACTTGTTGGTGCTGGTTATCAACCATTTATATGGTAATTTTTTTAATTATTTCGGAGACGTTCCCCGGTATTGTATGCGCTTTTCACTTGCCACATCTACTAATATTAAATGTTTCATATACATTTGAATTTGTATCACACATTCCCGTCTTTGTGTCCATAATCGTAGTGAAGAAAAAAAGGAGTTAGTGAAATGTAAAATGTCAAGTCAAATATCCCGTCAAATGTCAAGTCAAATATTGAAGTATATGAAGAATGACATGAAATATTTAAGACAATGAAAACAATAACAATAAAAAGATATCAATGAAGACAGGAAGAGTCTAAAAATAGCATTTCATTTTAATTTATTACTGCTAGTTTTAGATTACTTCTTTCTTATACAGGGTAGCTGTTAAAGATGGAACCAAACCTATAGTGCTTAAACGGTTCAACATACAAAACCCAAAATTTCAGAATTTCAACTAAATATATTTGCGCATATTTTAGCCCAAAAATTATTTTTTTATAATTACAAAATTTTAAGCATGGCCGCCATCTTTATTTTTTTAAATAGCAACATAGGTCATGTGATATACCATTTGAAAGAGTTTAACACCCTGATTACAAAAATGTTAATATTTGACGTCTTGTGTCAAATGCACAGCCTCCTACGATCCCTATTAATAATATCCTCTCTGTTGTGTTTAGACCCCATGTGTGATACATAGACTTCGAGTTATTTCTTACCTTTAAGATGACCACAATAAAGCAGTTGTATATCCTTCTTCAGTTAGAGAATATTTATTATTTACCGCTAATAGTGCATAATATATACCATTTTAAGTGAAATTCTTACTGCTAAAATATTGATACATTTTAAAAGAGAATTTGCTAACACTGATATAAGTATATCTTGTCGACGTTGTCAACTACATTAAATATGTATGCTGTATGCATGTTTACTTTTAAGATGATGCACAATGAGCCTAGTGAGGCCCTTCACACATTAAAGATACAGAAAGATGTCAAATGTCAATTTGAATTTTATTGACTAAACTTTTTATTGTTCTTTTTTAAATTAAACATTTAAAAAATAATGTTTCAATGAAAATAAAAATAGTTTATAAAATTCTTTGTTTGTTTATAATTAATGGATCGTTCAAAATACATTTTTTAATTTTTAATTATTTTCCAATATCTTGTAAAAGTAAAATCTGAAAAATATATAAAAAAGTTTGCACATCAAGTGTAATTTTTAAAATTATATATTTCTACATCGAACTTTCACAAAAAAAATTGGTGTTATTGTCCTTTTTCCACACATCTTTTATTATTACAATTCTTTTATTTGGAAGGAAGCTTATAATTCAAAATAAATATAAGAACATTTTACTAAATTGGAATTTTTACAAATATCCTTTCATAATTAGTCCAATTAATTTTTAATTTTTTAATTAATTCCTTATAAATTTTTTCAATCCTCTAATAATTAATAAAATAGATCAGCAATCTATGTATTATATATCATTGGATCACACCCTTCTATTATAGTAACGTCTGTACAGGAACTTAAAACTAGCACATATAGGCCTTTTCATCATGTGATGAGCGCAAGCGCAGCCACCATGTTGAAATAGCGGTAATTCAAATGTTTCGTACTGTTTTGATCGACAATGGCTGGGAAAGTAATATTATCCCTACAGACAAATCAATTATTATAAAAAATCGTTGATGGTGATTAACTTTTTTATAACTCTGTGGAAGCACATAGTTGTGAGCAGTTGAAAAGGTGGTTGAAGTGTCTAGGACGTTTGTTACAAAGGAAAAAAAGTGGACTGATTGAGAAGTTAGGTGTATCAATACTTCTTAACTGAGTAAAAAATTATTGGAAACAAATATTAATTATAACTCTATTCTAATTAATTATGTCAACCAACTATTAGTACTTGCAAAAATATTTTAATTAACTAACATGAAAGTTAATCACGAGTATAATTAATAAAATTCATTATTTAATATTTTAAGGAACAACATGACATTTATAATCATATTTCGGTGTATACCGAAGTAGTATTTAATATTAAAAAAATATTGTGTAATACCAGATAAGACTTTTCTTCTGTTGGACCACTTTCTCCATGAAAATGTAGTAAACAAATATAAGAATCTTTAGTAACATTATCTAGCGTTCGAAAACCGTTGTCACTTCGACCATATTTTTTCACACCTAATGCACGTTCTGAACATATTTTAATACCTATGGATTTTGCCTGATAATTTGATAATTTTTTACGATATTGCAGCCAAGGCTTTGGAAAATTTATAAAATAATATGCATTGCCTTTGAATGATTTATACCGTGTGTCACTTTTACATACTCCATAACAACACCATTTCGTTGTTCCTTTCCGTACAGATACCATAAGTATTCCAATTGATTGCAAAAATGTTTTTTTCAATTAAGACACTAAACTTATTATTAGTTTGCTTTTTCTTCCTTTTTTAAATGAATATACTTAAATTAATATTTATCGATTATAATTTTTTTCACGTGGTCATTTTAACATGCTTGTTTACAAAAACAGTACGAAAAAGATGACTGATACTGACACATGCGCACAAAAAAAATTGTGATGAAAAGGTCTATTGACAGCTTTCCCATATTTGGCGATAATTCTTTACCACGTCTGATTTCTATGATTCTTTTTATTATAAAGGGGTTACCTCAGGGGTGGTCCCATATAAATTTGGTCAAAATCTGATTATGGGATCCATGAGAAAATCATCAAAATCCTCATTTTTGGAGGTGGTTTTTAACACTCTTATATTAGCTTCACCTGTATGTATGTTTGTAACTCTCCTTTGGACTTAAGTGGCTTATTACTGTCAGTATATCTCACTAAGTCAAGTTCGTTCGTTGGCCGAGCGGTCTAAGGCGCGGGTTTTCGATTGCCAGACTCACCGATCGTGGGTTCTGATCCCCACGGCTGAAAAAAAAATTTTTTTTTTCAGCAATTTCAACTTACAAATTTTTTTTTAAATAATTAATCGAACTAAAAAGTAAAAAATATATATACTTTAAAAAAACTAAAAAAGCACGCTTTTATAATACATCGAATTAAAAAGTGAAAAATAAATATAGTTTAAAAAACTAAAAAACACGCTTTTAGAGCATATCAAACTAAAAAGTTAAAAATAATTTTTTTTAACACACTTTTATATTTATTTTTAATTACTTTTATAACATGTTACATTATCATCGTAGTTTTGTGTTATAGGTCTTTATTATAATATAATCAGTTAATAAATTGTATTTGAAGCAGTTGATGCTTTTGTTGTTCATGTCTTCTTAAACTCTTCTCTGACACATAAATTACACACCATTTAAAAAAATATATATTTTATAGAAACAACTACCATAAAATAATAATGAGGTAAAAATGTAAATGGTATGGTACATATCTCAATCTTAATCTCAATACATAAATGTCAACTGTCAAAAGACAAAGTGATGACGTCGTTGTGCCAGTTTAGAGTTCCTGCATCGAGACAGACATTTCTAGTACAGGAGCGCCATTTTGGCCACTTTCTGAAACCTTTTTGGTGGACACTTTTTGAGATAAACAACCATATGAGATTGTCCTCCTTTCCTCCGCACTCCATAGAATAAAAGTTTCGTTATTATAGAGCATTGACAGCCCTGTTACTTTGCTTTGTTCAAACAAAAAATGACGTCACACTATTACGGTCCATTAATTAAATTCATTATAATATAAAAAGCAGAGGGGTGGGTTGGCTCAGTGGTTAAAGTCATGACTTTGAGATCGGAAGGTCTCAGGATCGAATCCCACCGGTGTCAGGGATTTTTATTTAATTAAAAAAAATTAAATATTAATTCTAATGCATAGGTAGGATTCCCCACTCGACCATTCACTGTTGGGTTCTAATTAACAGTGCTGTTCCTAAAGTGGCGCTGGGAAACAGCAGAACACGAGGCTAATGGCCGTAGTAGTCGACGCCGATGACACCAAATAAAAAAAATATAAAAAGCAAACATAATAAGAACTAATGTTTATTATAACATAACTTTTAATATTTTTTGTTTTTATAAATTGGATTACCTTGTAAATTAAAAGAATCTATAGTATCATTAATAGTATAAAGGTCTCTATCGAGTTCACTTATCTCATTCTGTCTTAAAACGACGTTTTTTAGTGAAGTTCCGAACATTCCTCTTTTAATTTCCTTTAGATGATTACCACTGAGGTCGATATTCTCAATGTGTTCATCAAAAGCGCCAATTTCTATATCAGTGATTTCGTTTTGGATTAGTTGTAGATTAAGTACTTTAACATTTTTAAAGATTCCTTTTTTAATAATCTTTAATGTGTTGTTATTAAGGATCAATTGTTTAAATTCAAAATTTTCAAAAACTCCAGGCTCGATATTTGAAATACCATTTCTGTTGATCTCCAGAACTTCTAATTTTCCTCTTAATCCTCCAAGGGAATTTTTCTTCAGATCCCCAAGTTTGTTGTCGGATAAAAATAGATACTTCAAATCTGGTGATTGTGAAAAAGCGCCATTTTCGATTTTGAAAATTTGATTACCAGACAAACCAATAAAATTGAAAGGCAAGTTGTTAAAAACGCCATTTTTAATTTCTGTAATTTGGTTCTGAACTAATAGTATCCAGGAAATATTGGAATATTGAAAGCTGTCTGGTGCAAGTGTCTTGATTTTGTTGTTGTCTAAATCTAATAGCTCTATTCTAGGTAAGTTGTTGAAGGTTTTTCCAATGTCTTCAATTTCATTGTCGTTAATATAGAGCAATTTCAGTGGAGCAGTACCTTAAAGAAATAAAATTTGACTTAATCATAAAAACAATTGTGGTTACAAATATATTTGTCAATCTTTATAAATTAATAGTGGAATTGCTTAATGATAATTCTGTTTTTTTTTAATCAAATTTAGACATCTGTCTGTATCTGTAACGTGTGGAGAGTGAGTTAACCCATAGCATTTAGGCCTCGCTGGGCCCATTGTGCATCCTCCTAAGTTGATAGGTACCTCTAGCCTTATTTTGATATAGTTGATAACGTGCTTCTCATACATCGGCAAAATCTTCTAATAAATAAGAGCAATCGTAGAAAATATGCTCGATGGTCTCATCTTGTTTACATCCTTTGCAGTGTGCGGATTTTGACAGCCCCTCGCTATGAAGATGCTTCCCTACTTGGCATAGACAAGTTTGCATTTGCTGTAGTCTGTAGTATTGTCAGTATAACTTAAAGGCTCCCTGGCAATTCTGCAACTTCTTGTTTCGTCTAATCTTTCCTTGAATTTCACAAAGAAATGTTCTTTAATTAGGTGTGTCACTACCGATGTTGTCAGTCCAAAAGAAGGACCAGGTCCAAAAAGTAATTGGTTGGCAGCTTACTTGGCTATTGAATCAGCTAGACGTTACCTTTCGATGTGGCGTAATCTTTGATCCATCTAAAGTGACCACAATCTAATATTATCCCTGAGTAAATTCGTGGTCTGTCCAGGGTGAGTACTGCTTGTCTGTTATCAGCATATATAAGCATGTTCCTTCCAGTGATATTGTTTCTTTTGCTTATAACTTCTTTTGCTCTGTGAGAATCCCTGTGAGCTCTGTTTGAACTGCATTGGCACTATTGCTCACAGCCCTTTTTATGTTCAGGTTTAAGGATCTGTATTATATTACACATCCTGCGCCTTGTTTTGTTTTAGAACCATCGATATAAATCGTACTTGCCACTTCCGGCTCATATATTTGGTCCGTTACAACTTTATATGGCTTTTGTTAGATATATCTCGGTGAGAGTCCATGTACACTTGAAGCAGTAGAAGCTATAGTACATCAGGTTCTATTTCAACAATGCAGAGTCATGACATTGTCTATAGATCTAAATGTCAGGGGGAGTGAAACTGAGAATTACTTCTATGGCTATAGTTGGTGTGGTTTACATGGATTCTATTGTGTTGAGATATGTTGTTCTTTGAATTTTATCTAGTTTGCGGAGAGCTGTCAATTGTTGGGTTTGTGTATGTTAGCACAGGTCTTATGGTGGCCGTGTAAGTCCATGTGATGACTCTGGGCGAGAGACCCCAGGTGCGCGTCTTGATTAGGTGGCATTGTTTATAAGCAATGTATGCTTTTCTAACTCTGTTTTCTAGGTGAGTTACTACCAAAGGTAAGACATAAGTACATAGGTTTTATTTCCATTTTCATCCTTTTTCTTATGGTTTGTAGACAGTGAATGGTCCTTGCATTACTGTTCTATAATTTTTAGAGCTACTTACATTCTTTTGCAGAGCAAGTTCTTAAAATTACATGTTTGCAGAATGACCAGGTCATCTACAATCGCTATTATGTAGAGATCGTCATTATTGAAGTAGCTGATGATGGTGTCAAGGACAATGTTCCACAGTAGAGGTGATAGTACCTATCCCTGTGAATATCCCCTCGCAGCCAAGCCTCTTTTATTCACATCTATTACACTTATGTTTACTGCTCGCTTTGAGAGCATTTTATATGTTATGTGTCCTCTGAGGTATTCTTCCATTACCATCCCTGGAATATTATTATTGGTTGTGTGTATATTATCATGTGAATGGTGATCTTGTCTAATGCACCTTCTATGTCTATGAAAACACCCAAAGCGGGCTCTTTATATTCCAGGGATCTCACTATCCGGCCAGCAACTAGGTGAAGGGCTGAATCAGTAGATTTGCCTGGAGTTTATGCATGTTAATTAGGATGTAGTGGTGTTGTTGTAATCACCACATGTTTTATGTATCTATCGTAAAACCTTTCCAATATCTTCAGGCTAATTGGTCGGTAGTTTAAACATACAGGATGTTATTTTAAGGATTTTTTTGTATAAACAAACCAGAATTTCTTATCTTGTTTATATCTTAGTAGATTCAGTAAGTTACAGAGAATACGTGCGTCAAATGTCAAAAATTTATACAGGACGGCTGATAAATTACGAGTCAAGAAAAGAAATAGTCGAATTATTATTAAAGAATTTAAGAGTATAAAACTTAACTAAAGAAGAATTTGGGTATAACATTTTTCAAATCAAACCTACCTTGAAACGCCAGTTCATCGAGTTCTTTAATTTTGTTAAATCCTAGTCTGATAGCAGAAACTGTAATTCTTCTGAAAGTTTTGGCAGTAATTTTCGTTAATTCGTTGTGCTCTAAATTCAGATCGTCGACTACCAAATTTTCAAAAGCGTCTTCTTCGATTTCTGAAATTTGATTTATCTCGAAAGAAAGCGTCTGGAATGTTTTTTGATTTAACACTCCTTTCTTCAAAGTTTTTATTCTATTTCCGGGGAAATACAGGGATTCAATTGAGGATCCGTCTAAAGCTCCGGGTTCCAGGTCGGTGATTTTATCAGAAATGAAAGATAATTCTCTAATTTTGGTACCGTTCAATTCATTTTTGGCAAAAACCGGAATTTCTTGGTTCTTAATTTCGATTCTAGTTACATTTATCCTCGATATCGCTTCTTTGAGAACGCATAAGGATGAAACGGTCTCATTTAGAACTTCGGTTCTATAGTCGATGTAGCCCAGAATGTTTATTTCGCAATTTGCGTAATAAAAAAGTACCGGCAGTACCAGGGTAATGCACTTTGTTATCATTTTTATAGATTACTGTAGACGAATGTAGATTCGAAAACAAAAGGAGAAAATTTTAAATTTAATTTTATATTCAGGATCGTATTGAGATAGAGTTAATTTTGATTTTAAGGATTTTCACTAATATCAACGTTGGAAACAATGTTAAGACAAGCAAATTTAATTTTTGTAGAAGAAATAATTTCTATATTACATATTATTAAAAATGTTTCAATGTTTTTTTTATGAAATTCTATAGCCCTTTTGCTTATCTCAAGCTTAAATCTTTTTTTTATTATTAATATTATCTACTCACAATTTTTATCTGAACAGTAATCAAAATATTACAAAATAAGTATTGACTGTAGGGGTTATATTATGATAAATAAAATGTATTTAAAATAAATAAACAACAATAATAGTCGGATTTTCCAAAATAAAAAGATTGCTTCTATCTGGAATTAAACCCGTGTCGCGACATTATCGTGATATGCTAGGTTGAAAAAGTTAAACACTCTATGAACTAAGCTGTCACGGTTATGTCACTTAAATTATCTAAACATATATGTAAATGAACCAGGAAAAAACATAAAAATAATGTAGTTACTTTAAAATTTATTAAAAATGAACATTTAGGATCAGAGTATACAAACTAATATTAACAATTTAATCATCAAATAGATTTTACTATTAATATGCACATTACAAAAATCGAGATAAAAATTATGGGTCTGACATATTTGACAGCTTATGCGAAAAGTAGATTCATATTCACACAAGAGTGGAAAGTAGTTTCTTATTCACACGCGTCTGATATAGGGCATTTCCCATTTCCCAGAAGACTAAATTGTGAGATATTTGTCACGTTCCTAAGTCGTCGTAGAAAAAAGTGTTTCGAATGAAATATGTGTGGAAAATTCTCATCTTTAATTCATATTATAAATACTGTTCGATGGTCCGTCCCTAATATATTTGATATCTTAACAGAAAAGTTAATTTCACATAACTTACCATACCAATCATTTAACTTGTTTACTACAGTATAAAACCCACTACTCTAGCAGGTACTACTGCTTTTAATAATAATTTGATCAATCGGATGATCTTTCATATTGTTATATCATGTAATTATAAGTTACTTTAGTGATAGTCAGTATTATTCTCAACTTTAATATTTTGTACTCAACTGTTTATCATCTGTCGAATCCGATGATATGATTTTCATGCAGAAAACGGTTGTTTGCAATTTTTAAATAAAATATCAATTATTGCGTGGTACGGTTTTTGTTTTTCCTTTCTTATACGAAGATGACCGACCATCTTTTGAGGAGAAGAATAATCTTTTTCAACTAAACAGATATGTTTTTTGATTTTGTCATTTTAGATAAACATTTGTCTTTTAAATAGCAAAAATCCTATTTAAGATTTTTTAAATAAATGATTCAAAATTAATTTGTCCAAAAATAATTTGTCGCTGGCTAGTTCGAATCCCCCGCGGGCCTAATTTTTAAATTTTTTCAATTTTTCATTAAATTTGTTTTCTCTCTCTCACTATTTTTATTTATTACAGATTAGTAAGATTAGTAGGAAACGATTATTAATCTTTATTCAAATAAATAATGTTCCAGTAATTTTACTTTTAAAAATTCTGGTCTACATATTAAAGCATATAGGGTGATTCCGCCGGTTGTCGACCACTTATTCGAAGGTTATTTCTCTTATCAATTTTAAATATTTTTCTTGTTTCATACCATTAAAACTAAGTTTAAAGATTCATTATTTACCAGCATTTTTTATAAATTGATACAAAAAAGGCTTTTATTAAATATTTAGGCTAAAAATAAAAATGGGTTATTTCCTATTTTTGGCCCTCATATGCCTATCACCGGCTAGCACTTAACCATTTTTCGACCAGATGGCCAAAAACAACCCACATATCAACCAGTTCGAGCATAGTTTTAAGGAAATAGGTAAAGTATAAATCATTCTTGAGTTTAAAAATATATTAAAAAACAAAATTAAAATTATCATTAAAAAAGTAAAAGTTTTTTTTTAATGTTAATTACATAGATCGCATTTATAACCCTTGGAGGACGCTATTTCATAAGGTAAATTACACAGTTCCGTGCATTTTAAGTGATACCATTTAGGACAAAAGTCGCATCCTATATTTTTCTCGTCATCCTCTTCTGTGTCACTAATAAGTTCCTCCTCACATAGGCCGCATTTTTCCTTAAACAATCCTTCAATATTTTTATCGATTTCTAAGGGTTGATCTTTGATATATCTGGTATTCTTCTTTTTTTCAATTTTCCGTTTAGTTTCTTTTTTAATTTTAGTTTCTCTCTGCTCCTTTCTCAATCTTGCTTCTTCTACTTTCTTTCTTTTCTTCTTCTTTTTGATGAATTAACTTTCTCCAAGCCTCAGACGAAATGGCGCTAGGCAGCTTTTCTTTTGGTGGTTTATTTTCTGATTTTTTGGAAGGTGGTGGAACTTTTAAATGAGCTTCAAATGGATCGATCTTTTTTGGCAGTACGTCATTGGATGGAAAGATGGTCTTCAACGCCCTATTTTCTCCATTTTGACTGCTTTTGTTTTCTAAAACAGCATTATTAGTCATTTCTATATTGTTAGCCAGTTCTTCAGAAGGTTGTTTATTTTCTGTTATACTTCTAGTTTCATCTTCTTTGTGTTGCACTGAGTCAATTAGAGCTTCGCTAGATTTGGTATTCAAAGCACCGTCAATTCCCTCTGGAGTTTCATCTGTCAAGCTATTAGATCCTGCTTGATCTGCTATATTACTAACTAGATCTTGCACAGTACCTTCAGACTGCTCGGAGTCGCGGTAATCCTGACTATGCAACTTTGATTCCACTTCCATAGAAACTTCAGGCTCATTAAGAATAATGTCTTGTACGGGAACAATAGTCAATGCTTCCATAGAAATAATTGTTCCAACTTCATTTTCGTGTTGTTTAGGTTATGACTCATCTAATTCATTGTAAATTACTTGGACATTTATGCCATAAGAGTACAATTTTGGCTCAATTTGTCTGATACAATGCTTGGCAATTTCTAAATTTTCCAATGTTACTTTAGATTCAGTTTTAGAATGTTGTTTATTCTCTAGAATATTTTTGACGTACTTAGTATAATCCACGTTATCTAAATTCAGTGGATATAAACCACACTTCCGAAATCTGTTTCTTACATAGCTTATGAAATTTATGGATTTTAGTGTCTCATCTAAAACCCTGCAAAAATTTAATTTAGTAATTGTAACATTTACATTTTCTGGTTGATTTAACCATTTTGAAACTGTTGTTTTCCACTGCCCCTTTGAGAGGTCTGAAAATGCTTATATCAGCTGGCTGAAGCAAATGGGTGGTGTTAGGAGGGAGTGCATAAAGAATGATATTGTTCTTGTCACAAAATTCACTAAGTGGTAGAGTCATATGACTCTTATGTCCATCGATGAATAAAATAATTGGTTTTGGAATATTTTCTTCGGTGAGCCACTTATTGAATTCATTGGAAATATATTTGACAAAAACTTCTCCAGTCATACATCTACTATCAGATCTAACTAAGGTCCATTTTGGTGGCATACTTTCTATCAGTGATCATGGAGGACGAACATATGGAAACACAACGACAGGTAGACATATTTTTCCATGTGCATTAAAGTTCATGAAAACTGTTATGCTTTCTTTCTCATTGCCTTTTTTAATTGTGGATAAATTTGTCCAGCCCTTGGGTGCTAGCACCTTACCAGACTTGGAGCATAAGAAAACCCCCGTCTCGTCCCCATTAAATATCCTTTGTGGATCTTCCATAATTGCGTTCAAAATTTTACTTTCCAAAAAATCTTGCAATTCCTTGAACCAATTTTTAATATACTCCTCTGTTATTAGAGCGCCGGCTTTATTAATGGATTCTGCTTCCCTAAGTGAAATTTCCGAGTGGCGTTTCAGGAAATTTAAATACCATTTTTGCCCAGGCCTTTGGTTCTTGAATAAATGCAGTTTATTTGTGTCCCTCGCAATTTTAGTCACTTTTTCAATTAAGTCACTTTTCTATATAGGTAAACCACATTTTGCGATGTCCAATAAACATTCAGCAATTTTCCCTTCACCTTCAATGGACATAATTAGAGGTGGTCCTGTTTTTATCATATATGAAATTTTTCCTTTTAACCTATCTTGAATGGTTGTTCGAGGTACTCCAAATTGTCTACTAGCTACTCTAATGCACATGTTGTTTCCTCTTATTTCAAATAAAGCTTGTTTTAGAGAATCATTAGAATACGTAAAAAATTTTCTTTTCTGAAATGGTTTTCTGACCACCATTTGGCGTTTCTTTTTAACGCGAGCCATCTGAAAAAATTAAACAAAATAAAATTCAGAACACGAGAACGACAAAAGGAATTTGCTCTGGAGATTTAAATTACTTGGTTTTATACTTTTGTACCTTTTTTCGTTCAATACATTACATATTTTTTTATTTCTCGCATATTTAAAAAAAAGTTGATCGAAAACTGGACTCTGATTTTCCATTAATCTTTAAAACATTGTGTTGAAATAAGAAAGTTATATCTAAATTAATAACGTTAGAAAAAGATATTATAATTCCTCTATTTTTGCCCGTTTTCGGCCACTCCGGTCGAAAACGGGTAGCATGTGTTTTCAAGCTTCCAGTATATCGGCCACCTAATTTGTCCAGCATTTAGAACTAAATATTCATACTGATGCTCAGTAAGTCAGGAAAATAATTATATTTAATGAAACAAAAGATACTTACTATTTTACAATGAGTTCTGCACTGCACTTTTTTTAGACAAACTTACAATTTCGGTGTTGATCATGTTGGCACCATCTTTAAAATGAAACTATCACTTGTTCTTTCTGTCAAATGTAGTTGAAATTAAGCGGGAACTTTAAGAAAGACTGACCGAAAGAGGGTATTTATGTAATACATTTTAAATATAAGAGGTAAACAAAAAATAGCCGACAATTGGTGGTGGCCGGTTAACAGGCGCATTCACCCTAAGTATTTTTTCAATATGATACTGATACTGATACGACTATTTTGGATGTTTTATTATTCAGCAACTAATTCTCTATTTTTTAAATACATCTCTGTCTTGAGATTATTGTCGATTTTAAGACAGGTTAAAGGCTATCGCAACTAAATCCAAATGAAAGTTATTTTCAATAACAAAAATATAATACAATTTAAATTTGACCTTATTTGGATAAGGAGAATTTAACTATTAAATTTCTGAAATCTAAATAAATAATCATACTCCAACAGAGTGTTCCACTACAGTCTGGATAAAGTCGTAAAATAAACCTAAAAAATGTGACAAAAGTTATAAATTATCAAAACAAGAATGTTTAGCTGTCAAAATAATTCTTGACATCCGCCTACTACGTTGATTTCTATCACTATTAATGACATTTAATAATTATTGTCGTTCACCGTGATTTCTAATATCGTTCGATTATTTAAAATAGGTAAAAATCATGGTTGGGTATTAGATTTTGCAGAAATTAAAACATTTGATTTATACCTTAAAAAAATCGACCTAGTAGAAAATGCTGGTTCATTAAATGTCTCTAATTTTTATTTATATTTTTGCTAAAATCCGCGGTTTAAAAAGAGATATCCAAATGCCGTTTTCCCCAAAGTATTAGGATTTTTTTCTCTATCTAACTATGTAAAAAGATATGTATCGTTGTATTTAAATTTTTCCAAAAATGTTTATAAAATATGTCAATCTTTAACTTAACGCCCTCTAGCGGCATTCATGAATCGTAGGCAGCCACAATTTCCACAGTTCATACAGTTAAAAATGAGGCTAAAAAAGCTCTTCTAAACGAAATCAAATTTACTAAATTCGGTAAAGCCAAACCGAAGTTATGAATATTTTTCCAAATTAAAGTTTAAGCCACCACTCTATTTTACAACTAAAGAAAATACACCTGAAACTTTTTTTGTTCAAAACACATTGAAGATTAAAATAGAAATATTTATCAATATAGTTTACTTGGTATTTTTTCGATAAAATTACATTTTTATGTTTTGACTACACAATTACGCCCCCTAGCGGCCATCCTACAAACTTATAAATAAGTTAAAGTAATTTCTCTTGGCCGTTTTTATTTATATTTTTCCCCAAGGATGTGCTATTATTATCTTTTAATACATGAGAGCGTCGGGCAATTGTATAGGATATGCTCGATAGTCTGTAATTCTTGTTCGCGCCCCCTGCAGAGTGCAGATTCTGACAATCCCATGATATAGAGATCCGTACTTGGCAATGACCAGTTAGAATGCCTGTGACCAAGCGCATACTCTGTCTAGTCATAGTAAAGTATTTGTTTGCTGTAGTGTTGTCAGAATAACTTAAAAACACCCTGGCAACTCTACAGTTTTTTGTTTCATCCCATCTTTCCTTAAATTTCACAAGAGAATGTTCTTTAATTAGATCTGTCACGGCAGATTTTGTCAGGCAAATAGAAGGGCCAGATCCAACAAGTATTTTGTTGGTTGCTTTTATGGCCAGTGAATCAGCAAGACGGTTACCTTGCGATGTGGCGTAACCTTTTATCCATCTTAAGGTGATGGATATTTCGGCCAATGCTTCGTGACATTCTAGTACTAACTCTGAGTAAATTCATGGTCTGTTCAGGGTGAGTAGTGCTTGTCTGCTGTCTGTATAGATGAACATATTCCCTCCAGTGATATTGTTTCTGCTGATTTCTTTTGCTGCTATGAGTCTCCTCGTGAGCTCTGTTTAAACTACACTGGCACTATTGCTCACAACCCATTTTATGTTTATATTTAAGGATCTGATGTATATTCCACATCCTGAGCCTTGTTTTGCTTTAGAACCGTCGGTGTAGATATGAACTCGTACCTGCCACTTCCGACTCTTCTATTTGTTCTGTTATAACTTTATATGGTTTATGGAAGAAATATCTTCGGTGAGATTGAGTCCATATTCTCTTAAAGCAGTGATAGCATATCGAGCGCCTCCTGCCAAAAGCTACGTCTGGCCTCACCAGATCCTACATCAGGATCTATTTCCAACTGCGCGTAGGCGTGTCATTGTCGTGAGAGAAACCCTCTTGATGTAACTATCAAGGGGAGTGAGACTAAGAATGACTTCCATAGCTCTGGTCGGTGTGGTTTTTATGGCTCCTGTTATGTTGAGACATATGCTGTTCTTTGAATTTGTTCTAGTTTGTGCCTGTGGTAAGCTGTCAATTTTTAGCTTTTCGGTACCCTAGCTCCTGCTGGAGTATCTGTCTTATTATCAATATTTTACTAAGGCAAGTTGACTCAAATCTACGATAATTATATGTACATTGTTATCAAACCCTGATAGTTTATATATATTTAAAAAAAAATATGATCAAAATAACTCTGTAACGTTTTTTTTTTCAGACCAACGGTAGCCGTCAAATCCTTCGTAACACCAGCCATCGCAGTAAAATCCACACCCGCCTCGACAGCATTTTCTTACTCCTACGGCATCAACAATCTGTATGACTACGCCCCTGCTCTCTACTACCCGGGCTACACGACTTTCGCCACTCACTTTACCACACCGCAAGTTCTGAACACTGTGACCGCAGACGCTGCGATCGTCGAGAATGCTGAATTAGCCGTGAAGGCGAAGAGCGCGGCCAACGAGGACCAGAAGGAAGACAAGAGTTCGCAGTGATTTGTTTCGTGTTGGACTAGGTGCCGTTCTTGTTGTAATTAGGTTGTATAAAGTAATATTAACGTATAATGCTCTTTTAATTTGGAAAATATTAACAAATAAAACTACTCACAATTATTAACGACTTTTTGTATTACCTTTTTATTCATTTGTTTATTTACTACACAAGAAGAAAGTGTCAAATTCCCAAATATGGCTTATTTCTTCTATAAAAGTTAAGTAAACTTGTGGACGAATTACCATACCGGATTTCTAAATAGGCTAACTAGGCTATAGCCTACGGCGGCAAATTTTTGATGGCCGACATTTTTTCCGTGATCACTAATACTACTTTTCGATGCATTAGGAGAAACTGAAGCAGAACGATAAATAACACCAAAGAGTCTGTCATCCACGAGATGATCTTGCAGAGAATACACCTGCAAGGGTTTATTGAAGTCTTGGAAAGATATTTAGGATACTCTGTGACAGCTCAGAGAAAATGATTAGGAAAGCAGAAGAGGCAAAATGAATCGAGAGAATGAGCAAATTTGAAACTACATTTATGATTGTTTTTTTGAGTATTATTCTGAATCGCATCAATGTATTCAGAAAAAAACTATAACAGGAAGACGCAGATATTGGATTAGTCAACGATTTGTACATTGTATTTTTTTATTTTATCTTCTGGTGAAAACTTCACAATCTATGAAGAGGAGGAGGCCTAGGCACTGATTGATAAGAGTTAACTACACTACAACTTTTTGCTTGTACCATTATTTCTATAAAAACGACGACGATGAAAAAGTTCTGTTCGGTGCTAAGCATGATTTCAAAATAAACGTTTTCCTTACGATTAATCTCGGAAGTAGATCATCGAAAATGTGCGTATGACAGTGTTCTCTTTAAATTTGTCAAACTCTCTGTTGGAGGAATAAGGAGCAAAGCGTTAAAATTATATACAGGTGTTTTAGGTGATCTAGTTGAAGAGATCATGTACCTCAAAAAGTATTTAACACTAGAAGACAAAAAGTATGTAACTATTGTAACAATTGTTTAATTTAAAAATAGTTTATTTATTAAAAAGAGTTTATTTTTAATTTATAATGTACTAATTAATTTATTTTAATACTTAGGCACTATTATAACTCTTAATTCTAATTTATTTATTACAATTTGTCTTTACTATCCAATACTTAAATTGAAACTTTACTTCTTCCGAAAACTCTCTCTGCACTAGTAGGTACTCGGCGATCTAGAATGTCCGAGAATTCTTCCTTTGTGAGTCAACCGGCGGGCAACGATGTCTCTAGTAATCTCTCGAATGAGTTCGGGTGTCGATATGGCCAGCGCTAGATTTCATATCGCGGGTAAGGTAGTAAACAAAGAACAGAGTCGGCTTCGCGCGACCCCATAAACTATTAAATTAACGAGCTTGCAATAACGTCACACTAGTAAGGTCAGTTTTGTACAATAAAATTTAGAAAAAAAAAATAATTTCTACAGCACTGTACAACAATTTGATTTTGGTCCTCTGGCAACACTGGTTATGATGCAGTCGAGTAGGAGAGGGTAGCACAGAACACTTAACCTTAGAACGGTAACTCCGATGTTAAAAAACGGTGATTGAATTTTAGCGCCTCCTGGAGGATGTGGTTCATTTTTCAAGTAACCCCTTATCGGGTAAGAGACCATATGAAAGAAGAAAAAAGAATAAGGAAAAGAAGAAGAGAAGAAAAGCGTGGGGCCATTCAAATTTGACAGTAAAAAAATTACTCGCATTCAAAACGTTAGTCAAATTAAGATTTGTTCACACAATCTGCATTTTTGCGTTATTATAGCGATGTTCGCTATAATAAAGCAAAAATTGAGTTGCATAAACCAATCCTAACTTGACTAACAATTTTTAGATAAAAAACAAGCACAAACAAAAAATAAATTTATTAAAATATATACCGGGTGTTCAAATTAAAGAGTTACAGCTAAATGCCACCTTTTTAAAAAAAAAACGTTTGAGACGAAAGTTTTATAGTTTTGTGGGGAAACATTTTTGGCTATAATCGTTTTTTATAGCTAACCATAATATGGCCAACTTTTTTTTCGCCCAGAAAACTTTGCAAGTAACTGTTACTCAAAAAGTAAAAGACCAATAAAAAAAATATTTTTATCAAAAGTTTCTTATTTTTTATGTACTTTAAGATTATGTAAAAAAAATGGGATTCCCATTAAAAAAAACAGAGGTCACCTCGATATGGCCATATTATGGTAAAAAAATGAATTTAGCCAAAATGTTTTCACCAAAAAACTATAAAACTTTAGATTTTTTTTTAAATGCATATTTTCGGCGGTATTTAACTGTAACACTTTAATTTGAACACCCGGTATAATGCAAAACCGATATTTAAAAAATGTATTACGTATATGAAAACTGTATTATGTATGAAGTAGCTGGATATCAAGCTACTTCATATTCCAGGATACAACACTGCCCCTCATTTTATGAAGAATTTTATCTGTGAAACAGGAACGATAGTATAAATACAATCTCTTTAAAAATGTATTAATCAAAAGTCTGAGGAATACTTTCCAGCATCTTCTGCTTAGGACCCCCAAAGTCATGAAACAGAAAATACACACTATAAGTATAATATAAGTGAGTCGAGTACTAACTTTCCTTCTCGAAAAGAAGTCCAACATAATATATTAATAGTCTGTTTCTTCTTCTACGTTACAGTTTTGCAAACCCGAACTGCTGGGAGGAATAGCCTTGGAAATGCTTCAAGTGTTAGACCTCGACGAAAGCCAACCACTTTAAACTTCTCTTCAAGATGTTTATGACATACTACACTAGTGGAAAAAATTAAGGGATCAAAAAAATCTCGATTTTTGCGATTTTTCGAGTGGCTGTATCTTTGGTAAAAATGGTCGTAAGTGAATAAAAAAAAAAAAAAACAATTTGAAGCTTGAAGTATCTAGTTTATGGATCTTGCGATAAAAAAAATTTCCAACCAACAATTAGCACAAAATCCTGATGAATATCATGGATAGAAAATTTTTGAAATTTTTTTTTTTTAATTTTTAGTACATGGACTTGAAAAAAATGTTCTCGACATAATCACTATATGCATTGGATAGGTGGTTTAGTTATCTTTAAATCCTTTTTTTTTTATGGCCTCGAGATGACCCTTCCTTGCCGAGTTATCAGAAAATGAACGAAAATCCTCTTCTCTCGTCAATATCTCAGGAACCAATGGCCGCTTAGAAAATGGAATGGGGGTTTCGGAAACTTCGATTCATTCTCTACAAGGTTCTGGCATGATCTTTCACGAGAATTTTTTTTTTCATCCCATGACTTTGAATAATTTCGGAAAACTGGTCTTTTTGAGGTTTTTTAGAAAATCACGTGCCACATTAAGAATATTGGGAAAATGATTAATTTTGAGTGTGCATCTTACATTGCTCTGCCGAAAGCCGTCCTACAAAATTTCAACCTGATCCATCAAGCCGTTTCATTGTTTCATGCGAGTGAATTTTTGAAGAAATTGAAGGATCGCGTTTTTCTATCCATGATATTCATCAGGATTTTGTGCTAATTGTTATTTGTAAATTTTTTTTATCACAAGATCCATAAACTAGACACTTCAAGCTTCAAATTGGTTTTTTTTTTTTCATTTATGTACGACCATTTTTATCAAAGATACCGCCACTCGAAAAATCGCAAAAAAATTTTTTTTGATCCCTTAATTTTTTCCACTAGTGTACAAAGGTGGAATAAATTTGTGGTCTTATTTTATTATTAAATTTTTGGACAAGGAACAGCAAGTGCCCAAATATCAAATAAATCAGGTGAATTCGTAAGATGGGTCATTAAGGCAATTCGGTAGATAACATTTTCTATAATTACCACGTGTCTTTATGAAAAAGGCACAAAATAACAGCGGAAAAAGCATAAATAACAGCTCAAAACGCACAATTTATAATGGGAAAACAAGCTTACAGTGGTCAACTAGATCAAATAAGCAGATTGAAAATGAAAACACAACTGAATACAACCAAGTCTCCAATATAAATAAACTAACTTCACGCTTCCGTTTCGGCCATGACACCCCCACAAACATCAATATTCACCTATCATCTGTCATTATACTTCTACCCACCTCCCACCGCACGACTGGTAAAGTGGAGGTGGTTGATTTTAACGACTCCCACAGTCTGGTGCATAGGAGTTTTCCCCTCCTGGGGTGTAGGAGCATTCTCATGAATTCGAGAATAGGGTATCTGGAGACAAGTCAACTAGCTTGTTCTTCGATTTATCAACCAATGCGTGAACTAAAATTATCGGTAAAGATGGTAGAAAAAAGTATTGCTTCGTATATTCATTGTTTAACTTTAAACAATGGTATATTATTTGAAATTTTGGCTTTTGTGTTCTCCATTTTCTTCGTTATTAAATCGATTTGAGAATTGCTTTCAATATTATAGTAATTATTGCTTTTTGATAGACTATCTACTTGTCGTCTTAAAAAACTCACATTAACTTTTATTTTTATTATTTTCAAAATTGCATTATTGATATTAGAGTCAGCAATTGCTCTAATTTGTTTAAAAAATATCTTTATCTTTTATCGTTAATTTGGAAATAAAATTAAATGCAATTAAACTCCCGCCTTAAAATATACTTTAAGCTAGAAATTATCGTTAAAAATGCTTTAATTATATGTAAACTTACAAACAAATTTGTTATATCTCTATTTTTAGACCCGGTGGGCCCTCAGTGTCCAAAAATAATCGCCCAATATTAATTCCTAATAAAATTCTTTGGTATTAAGGAAATGCTTCATTTGAGAAAACTTATGATTTACACACTTTATATCAGATTCGCAACTTAAACTTGCTACTCTGCGAAGACAACTCTTTTCTACCTTTGGTCCCAAATACGTACCTTCCCAGTATTACCTACCCTCTTTGATTAGCCTTCTATATTATCTGTTACAGTAAGAAGTGGTTACTTTCGGTTAATACTACCTTTTCCGAAAAATAATAGACTTGCTTTTTGTATTTGGTACTAACCTTGTATAATCAACAAAACGAAAGAAGTTTCTGC